GAAATAAGATTAAGATAGGAGATTTATAGTGTACACTAGGGACTCAATTCACTCTATCCCATATCGCATACATTTATTCCCCTTTATGAATTTGAATAAAGCAAGAACAACAGTTTTTGCAGAATAATATAGTACCATCATTTATTTCGTTGGCTTCTCATCAGCTGCTTACAGCCTAAATAAATTATTAAGTTTATGTACAAAAAAGTTTTAACATACTTGCAAATTTTACATTATATCAGTTGACAGAAAGTTCTGCAATCAGTGAACAGTGTTCACAAAATTTTGCTTATATGGTTTTTACATAGGGAGTTCAAGTTTAAACAAAGTAAATACATGCATACAATGGTAAAGGAGTTACGTAATCAGAACGAGGAGTAACATGTTGAGTGACTAATAAATTAGGTAACGATGTACTGAGTTCAAATCACGTCATAGAAACAAGAGACAAGCAAAATTACACTGTATCAAAGGAGGTGAATTCAAAGCCAAAGATTATATAATCAAATGAGAGAGAATAAAGACATCCAGTTACCAGGGTAAGGAAAGACTGTTAACTGCTTCTTTCTGAACACATAAATCTGGTTTCAAGCGTTTGATACAAATTGCTCCGGCAAACTTGAGCAGAATCGAGCTCCTTTGTCTACTCATAATTTTAAAGGATTTTGCGATTTCCACCCGTTTCGAGGAGATGTCTGGTAGTAGCGCTATTATAAGAGTTTGTTCCCTTGAGACGTAGGCTTTTCGGCGCATGCTCAGAAAATCGGAGGTGTACCCTTTTCTCTGTTCTCCCAATGTAACTGCTCCCGCAGATACACGTAAATTTGTATACACAGTTGGAGTTGTTAACATGAGAAGGGTATCTGTCGACTTTTGACTGCACCAAGGAGTATGTTTTCTTATGGATGGGAACCAACTAAGCTGCAGGAAACGCTCTGGCTAGTGACGCACTTAGTCTTCTGTTGACAGTTCATGAAATATTTTAAAATTTAAAATCGAGTTGAATGAAGACAGGCTTTTTTCCCATTGTGATTTGTTTGATATTTAAGCCTTCACATCTTCCATATATGTTAATGAATCTCGTAGGGTAACCGTTGTTTTTCAACATCTTTTCGAGAATCATAAATATTCTTCCTCTAATTTCTCTGCAGAGCATATTCTCCTAGCTATATAGTATAGAGTCTTGACTAGTGCTCTTTTGAAGCTAACTGGACAAAAACTATTAAAATTCAGGTATTGTCCATTCCATGTAGGCTTTCAGTAGACTGACTGACCTCTGGAGACTACCATCTTCTAAGCGTTGCATGGCAATCTCAAGGAAATTGAACTTTCCATCATTTTCATATTCCATAGTAAATTCAATATTTGTATATGCGTCGTTGAATGGTCTGACTGCTTGTCAATTTTGCTTTGAAAGAATTCACTACCTGAACAGCAGTAGAGTGCCACAATTAAATTTGCTACTATAATCAATTTCAAATGTATTAAGGTTGAACTAACACAAACGTAATCTTAAGCTATCTAACACTGTAGTTAGCGAGTGGTCATTTTCATTCTGAACATCGTGGACAGGAAAGCTCAATTTATTCAGAAAGTCGTAAACTATACCATGAGGCTATTTAAGCCAAGATTGTAATTCTGTACACGTAAACTTGGTTTTATTTAGATTTAATTGATTTTAAAATTAGTTTTTGTTACAAACTAACATTAATCAGAGTGTAGCTGTAGACCGAACAATATAAAATAGCCATTTCATCCGATTCTGGAACTTATTAGGGATGCGAGTCAAACACTGAGCTCTCTTCAGTAGGCTGAGAGAATTCCAAACCAATGAATACTACAAGTTTCGTTTTTTCCGATATTCGATAAAAAGGAAACAAAAAATGTTTGAAACTTTGCAATATTACAGAACACTGTTCGACTAGTTTTAGGAGTCATGTGGCGTGTGCTACTGATAGGCTTTATCAGCAGTTTATAAAGAGCTGTTTATTGGCACAAAAATATCAAATAGCGGAGAGGTGAACCTGACGTCAAGAAGAGGAGATAAACCGGCACTGCAGCAAAACATGGAAGACAAAGAAACACAATGCGAAAGGGCAGAAGTATCACAACAAGGAAGACCTGTGCAAATGGTGATTTGAAGATAAGGTGTACACAATTTCGCTATATAGCGACATCAAATTCCAAGTGAACATTCCTTTACCAAGTCTTTTGTCTTATCCCGTTAAATTTGGTGTCACTGCCTGCAGACGATGAAGATCCCATGGCCTGCTGGAGCTTCTTGAGAAACGCAACAGCTAGCCTCAACTGAACAATCAGTATTTAGAAATAACAACAGCGTAACGCAACCACCGGTGAGAATATTACTTTACGACATGGATATTCTCATCAATAACTTGTGATAAGTTTCATAAAAGAAATTGAGTAAATTCGTTAATCTTAATTGAGGTAGGTGATAATAATGTGTAATTCAACAACCACTTGCAATTCCATGCGGTTGGAAATGAGCCACACCTATTGTGTGAGGGCTAGTGATATTATCTGGCTGTCCAAACCTTGACAGGTGGAGTAGTATTCGAAACCGTGATCCACTGGTCGGAAGTTGAGCGTCTAGACCAGGAAGTCACAGCTTCACAAGTGATAATAATAACAATAGGGAAAGTCACCTTTGAAGCGGAGAAAGAGAACTAAAATGAACTAGCCACTGACGAAGGGAAAAGTATGTTGTGATGATAAGCATTCCTCAGCAAGTGTAATCACCTGTCTCTCTTTGACTGTTACTCGTAGAGGCACCAAACTAACTAAGCTTCATTATATCAGATTGGAGAATTTTCAAAAGGAATATATACTTCGTGCTCAGTCCATGAGGACTAGCAACCGCATACTTGATTGCAATACAACACTAGATTAGATTGGTAAGGAAACTGAATTGTAGTAGTGTAAAAACAGAAGACAAGGGCCAGGCAACAGATTTTAATGTACATCATTGTAGATTATTGTTAGTAGAAAATGCAGTCTTTTGATTGGTTGTTTCTCACAGAAAGTTAACCTTGCATCTCTTTGTGGCTGTGTCAGATCATCCATATGCTAACTGTATCCGCCTACGCAAAGCCTTTGTTCTCATTTTCTCACCACCAATATTGGGGACATAAACATTGACGTCAATTACTGTCTGCCAACTTTGGCTAGCAGCCAGCTCTCACCACAGTAGTACAGTCGAATTCATATCAAGAAATTGAATGCAACACAACTCGCAAGTAGCTTAATCTTTAATTGCCTTCCTCAAAAAGGCATTGTTCACCTGTATTTTTTCCTAAATGCTTCCTGTATAGATAGCTAACAAATTAAGAAAATGAAATACCATCTTAGTGTAACTCATCACGAAGGAATGAAAGGAAATAACAGGCAAACAAGACGTTTAAAATAAGGATAAATAATGTGACAAGGTGTGACATTTACAACTTGGAATCATCAACTTAACATCGGTACGACTCCAACCAATCAGATAACAATTTCCAGCACACTAAGCATTGACATTCCAAGAATTAATTGATAATGAACTACCCATCTGATCAATTTTAGTTTCCACGAAATTAGACAGTAAGACATTCATTGTGTAGCAGCAGAATTGTTCACTTTGGAAATGACATACCTTTTTATTACTACTTTATTTCCTTACATTCTTAATGGAACATACGGCTTCAAGCTAGAACTTTGAAGTTTCAGTAGTAGTGGTGTTGATTTTTATGGGGTGGGATAGCTAGTCTCATATCCAACCTTCTCTCTTTACCGATCTTACCACTGGCTTAGCGAGGTGTAGGGCTGCATCGACTGGGGAACGAACCCCAGACCACGTGCGTGGTTGGCAATCATTCTACCAATGTACCACCGACGCATCTCTAGACGTGACATACAGTGATGGTAAAATCCAGGAATTTTACATTGAAACCTTCATTTGTACAAATTCTTCGTATTCTGTCTCTTTTGACTTCCTTCCATGTCTTTATATTACTTCCCAAGGATCCTTCATTTCTTCTCATCGTAACTTAATCTGTCGTTCCACTCACTATTCAAGATTCTTGTGGACAACATTACATACAATCAATATTCTACTCATAGATTGTTGTGAGCAGTACACGCACGACAGTGTGATATGATTTGATGTGGTTCATTGCCCCTAGCATTCGGATTTCAGTCAACGAACAAAAAGTTCAAATCCAGCTTCACCTACTTCAACTTTAGCAACTGATTAGTATTATCAGACTTGACATAATAAGTTTGGAATATAGACTAGCGCATAAAAATCTACTCTGAGTAACTGAGTTCTAACTATATTATGATGCACTTATCAAAGAAAAGGATTTTACACATTCTGGTGAGCGAGGCAACAAAAACAGCCGAAGAATCTCATATACTATTCGACTCTGGTAACGATTTAACTTCAGCTTTGTTCTCGCTAATTCTCGGAAGTGTATTGCAGACGATTTTTCATTATTACTTTGTCCATTCTTGATTTTATTAAAGTGTGAGATAGTCTGTATTACTTCCGGAGTTTCAAGACAGCGTTTACAATCCAAAAAGTCCCTTATACTTTGGAAGTTAGGTGATGGATCTTCAACAGCAATATCAATAACATTCCACATGGGCACGAACTCGCGGTAGAATGTTTCTAAAAGTTGTGTGGCATGGTCATTGTTTCGAAAAGGTGGGAGAATCAGAATTTGGCTAACTCGTGGACGAAGATTTCTCGGATAAGCATGAAATTTGTAAATAGTCATATAACCAATAAAAGCATATTTCGATTTGCCGTCAGCCTTTTGGTTGACATTTTCGTAAATCATATAACAACACCACTGAATATCATCAGTAGGTATAGCGGATGCGCCGTCTATGAAAAACAGAATGAAGGATTCCATTCGTTTGTGATACTCGAGAAATTCCTCAAAACCAGGCATACCATGTTCGATGAAAAATATAGAAAACTTCTTTGGACATTTGTCTTAAGCAATTTCATAACTGTGTCTATGGGTTCCATATGGTGTGAAGTGGGACTCTTCGTCAATTTTCTTGGTGAAATCAGTAAGATTTTTACTGACATCATAAGTGTACACACTAGATAACAGGTGCATAATATCATCAGGCATAACGCCTTTAGAAAGTTCAGGATTAACTTTCGACGAATAAGAAATATCGATATATGTAGATAAAAAAACTGGTGTGTAATAAATATCAATCTTGAGGTTTCGGTATCCGAATATCTGCTCACTCTCACCAAATATCTGGTGAGTGAACTGGGAATTAAAGCCTTGTACAGAATTTATAGCTTCTTTGTTATCAACTAATTTAAATTGGATAACGTCATAAGCATTCTCACGATAGTCATCAAGAATTCTTGTATGCAAGTCCTCCATGTTATATACACGTCAGAAGCTTTATACCTAAGTTACAAACGCAAAGAGATTGAGGCAGAATTAAAAAGCATATAGCACTAAATATTTCCAGGTAGATACTCATATTAAATATCAAGCATAAGTAGTTTCACAATAAACTAACGAAATCTTTTTTTATTTTCCTTTACGTTCCCAGTGTGGAACATAGGGATTCAAGCTAAAACAATTTGAAGTTTCGGTAGCAGTAGTGTTTATTTTTTACGGGATGGAGTTGCTAGCCTCATGCCTAACCTTCCCTCTTTACCAGTCTTATTACTGGCTTAGCGAGGTAAAGGAGTGCGTCTGTGGCCGGGGATCGAACCCCGGACCACATGCGTGGTCGACGAACATTCTACCGCTGGTGCCACCGACGCACCAAACTAACGAAATCACTGAACGAAAATGTACACATTTATGAAATAGGCGTTATGATCAGACATACTATCTGAGTAGTAGAACTGAGGTAAATGGAATAGATGTCGAGCAGGATGAAACACCAGTCTCCACATTTATGAAGCAGAGTAGTAACTTCATATGAAGTCACTCGATTTAGGTATGTTTAAACTGAAGATTCTTCTAACTTAACAAAAAGTGGCAATTATGTCCTTACATCGACACTAACGCCTTGTCACATTTTATTTTTTCGAGTGATATTGAAATTAAGAAAAAATATACATATTTCTGATGGAAAATGAATATTTTATCTTCAAAATAAAGAAAAATAGTATTATTTACAAAGATAGAAATATATGACTATATCCCATTATTATTTAATCCTCCACCTTCCCCTCCTCATGTCTGAGCGTATTCAATACGTAAACGACGACCCAATAAATGTGTAGCCACACCGAGTGTTTCTATTGCAGCCTTAAAATAAATAGAAAATATATTACAACAGCATTTTAGTGTTACATCTTTCGGTTTCAAATAGTACAAAATAAAAAAGCGATTTCAACTTTAAATGACAAATTATTACTTCCTTTAGTTTAACGCTTCTTCTACCCTAGTCAGTAACTAGGGTAATGCGTCTAGTTCCATCTTCGGTGCAAACTGAATTCTATCAGTCAAGTTTGCAAAGTGGGCACCATGCCACTAAGTGGCTCGCCATCACAGTGCACTGTGAATTGTTGGTATTAGATGGTTGGAGGCAATCGGCGAGAAGCCTTGCCCCATTTAGGTTTCGTGCTAGCTGGCACTCTTCAGCAAGGCGTATCTGCAACCACGAAGGAACTCAGATCCCCTCTGAGATTCGAACCCGCGTTACCCAGTGTTACAGTCAGAGACGTTACCACTGAGCTATTCAGACTCGCGAGTGACCTCCTGTAGGACTGTATTGTATATATTTCTAATTGTGTCATTCTCGGTAACGTTTTATTTATTTATTCAAATATCAGAAGTGTGAAACAAAGGATGTTTACATATCATTACCGACCGAGGGTAACTGCCAAAGTCTCATCATTCAACAAAGATTCAGGGGTGGAGCACTTACTATATAGCTAAGCTCATTTTCATTGAGAAAACAAGATTTATGTTGTCCTCTAAGCACGCACATTATCCGAATGATAGTGTCACATCCCATTGTGTTTACCAGCTTACAAGTATGTGTGATCACACGTACATAGAGAGAACATACATCAGTTTCTGCAATTCAGGAGGCTACAGACCACATTCCTAAGTGGTTACAAGAATAATTAGAATCATCTAATACAATTAATCCTGGAAATGGATGTCCAACGTTATCTTTTGCGGAGTACATCATAGAGGCGGGTCATAAAGTTGATTTTAAAAATGCCTTTAAACCCATACATAAAACAGGTTTAAGTTACATACTTAAATTTGATGAAGTCTCAGCCATAAAAACGACTAAGTCTGTTTCATATTTTCAAAAAGTATTTGTCATTACTCTGAATCTGCTTTAGTAATCCAATTTTAGAACCAAGGTTTTATTCTACGTAATAACATCTTCAACCCCCTTCCCATTTTCTTATCTGTGATCATGATCCGTGAGCACTTTGGCTTTTATGCTCTGTTCAATTTTATGTATGATGTATGACACGATTATGATGAGGAGCGAAAGGTACTTAAACGAAGACTAACAAAAAGTTTTTGCAAGGACCGTGAACAGTGGTGGGCGACAAAAGCGAAAGAGATGGAAAAGGCATCGGCGATTGGCAACAGCAGAAAACTATTCAGGCTTATCAGGGAAACAGGTGGCAAAAGGCAAATGATAAGCGAAACAATCTCGGGGAAAAATGTCACCATAATTAGCTCCCAGGATAGACGTCTGGAGCGCTGGAAAGAACACTATGAGGAGCAGTTTAATTGGCCCACAGCCACACTTAACCTGCCGAACATCCAACACCTCCCTGAATGGGATATAGACACAGGTCCTCCGTCCTTAACTGAGGTTACTAAAGCTGTCACTAATCTGAAGCAAGGCAAAGCAGCGGGACCTGATGGATTGACTCCAGAGGTATTTAAGTACGGTGGAGACAGTTTACTGTCTGCATTAACTGGGGTTCTAGGCAGCGTCTGGGAATCAGAGGAAGTCCCATCGGGTTGGTGTAAGTCACTGATCATCCCGATATACAAGAAGGGAGACAAGTCGTCTTGTGATAATCACAGAGGGATTAGCTTGACTAATATAGTATCTAAAATCCGAGGCTCAATAATACTGCGTAGACTAAGTGGTGCTCGGGAGGCACAAAAACGAGAAAACCAGGCAGGTTTTAGGCCAGGAAGAGGGTGTATTGATCATACCTTCACCCTTCGACAGATTCTAGAACATAGGCATTCCTACCGGCGTCCGACAGTCACTATATTTCTTGACCTAAAGGCGGTATTCGATTCTGTCGACCGAGAGGTTCTCTGGCGATGCTTGGCTGTGAAGGAAATGCCGAGAAAATACATTGCACTGATTAAGGCACTCTACTTGTACTCATGCAGCCAGGTGAGGGCTTATGGCGAGTTGTCATCTGAAGTGGTGACGACTAGTGGCGTCCGTCAAGGATGCCCATTATCCCCATTCCTATTCAATTTCATCATAGACGTATTAATGGAATTAACCCTAACTCACTTCAGGGACTCAGGGATTGACTTGCTACCAGGGAATAATCTCGTCGACTTAGAATATGCGGACGATATAGTCCTTCTAGGCGAGGATGCTGACAAAATGCAGAGTCTACTGAACACCTTGAGCAACAATCTTCGTATGTTTGGCATGCGATTCGCCCCTGTAAAATGTAAGATGATGCTGCAGGATTGGACAACACCGACCCCTAGATTAGAAATAGGAAGTGAAGTGGCAGAACACGTTGACCGCTTCACTTACTTGGGAAGTACCATCAGCCAGTGCCAACGGGTTGATCTCCGACGAAATCTCAGCACGAATACAGAGGGCTACTTTCGCATATGCCAGTTTACGCCGTAGACGTGAAAGCCGACTATCAACCAAAGGGCGTGTGTACTGCTCAACAGTCCGCTCCGTCCTCCTTTATGGTTGTGAGACATGGCCATTGAGAGCAGAAGACATGAAAAGATCATCTGTGTTCGATCGTAGGTGTCTGCGTTCTATCTCCCGCGTGAAGTGGTATGATAAGGTGAGCAATATTGAGGTTAGGCGTCGAGTGCTAGGTAAGGAGCGGAAATCAGTCGACGAGACTGTGAAATTACATTGACTGAGATGTTAAGGACATGTGTTACGTATGCCTAGTCATCGCCTTCCTAGACGGGCAATGTTAGCTGATATAGGGTCAGGCTGGAAAAGAGCTAGCGGCGGTCAAACCAAAACATGGCACCAGTCAATGAAATCTACAACAGTTAGTCTAAGCCCCATTGGAAGGTGTAGACTGGCTTCCTGGTTGGGGTCCTCGGGACGGTAAAAATCAATGGTTGGAAACAATTGGTGACATGGCTCAAAATCGTTCTCAATGGCTGGTGCAGATGCATCCACTCCTTGTGACTTATGATTTCCAATGAAACTGTTTTGTTCTTCGTTATTACTATTCCTTTGTCTCACACCTCAACTTACTGTCTCTATTATGCATTTCTCCTACTTTCTTCTCTTGCTTTGTGTGCTACATGGAGGGAGTGTGGCGACTTGAACTGCCGCACATATGTGCAAAGTTCTATGTCGAAAACCGACCGACCGACCGATGATGTATCACAAGTACGTGTGTGGTCAGAAAGTCCGAGATGTGTTGGACAAATAAATTACACATTTCAGATAAACTACGTCTCATTGTTGCGTAGAAATTCAAATGCTAAATAATTTTTGAAAGTCTTATTTATTCTGCAAAAAAGTTCGAAACAAATATCCTCAAAAAATATTATTTAAGTTAACTTGCATTTTTGCGTTAATTGTGACTATATTTAACAAATACCAACTGATAACCATTTCACCAGACGTACCTATCGCGACTCAGTGGATAACGTTTCAGTGTTTGAAACGATAAGTGCTGGATTCCAGTCACAGGAGAAACATACGGGATACAGGTACAACCAACTGAATGAGTCTCAGTTAGGAGGCAATGAGCATCCTGAGCATTTCGCTGCTAGGCACCTTCAACCAAATAACGCCCAACTGGTGTTGCTCTTATTATTAGTGTAAAATAGTGTATGCACTATATTCTGTTGATTTATAGACTGTGTAAATGGAATTCATTTGAGTGTAAATAGTTTAAATCTGTAGCAATCACTCATCTATCTTTAGTTGACGTTACCTATACGCCACTTTTTTTCCATTCAAATTTGATAATGTTTCCTGTAAACTGACTGGACTTATATTTAAATTATTCCCCTTTAAAGTTTTCTAGGTATTTGTTATTCGTAATTTCAATGATTATAACCTTTTCCGCTGGGAAATAGTAATTGGAGATCGCCAAAAAAAGTGTTAATTAAAAATTGATTTCCACTACGAATTGGTGTCATGTTTCAACCTGACCAGCCTTAACCCCTTCTCAGACTGGTCCTCTTGTAGTCAA